TTAAATGACGTATAATATAATAAACATATATTAACAATCAGCCAATATATAAAGCAACAGCAGTTATTACAATCTCCCGCCCCCACCCACACGTACGTACGTACGCAAACACGCGTGCGCACACAATCACACACCACACGCACCGCGCACACACGCCACGGCGCACACACCACAGCGCCACATACACGCACGCGCACACACGCGCACAACACCGCGCACACAAAAACAAACACTAAGCGTTGGTGGTGGCTAGTACGGGCGGGTGTCGTGCTCGTATGCTACGTGCGTTGGTGCGTGCGTGCGTATGTACGTGCGTTGGTGCGTGCGTGCGATGGACGGGCGTTGCCGTGGCGGCCTGGCTGTGCGTATGTACGTGCTTGGCTGCGGTGCGTGCGTAGTGTACGCTGCGGTGCCATCATGTGTGGTGCGTGCGTATGTACGTGACTTGCGTTGCGTGCGTTGCGTATGTACGTGCGTTGGGCTGCGTGCGTATGCTACGTGCGTTGGTGCGTGCGTGCGTATGTACGTGCCGTATGTACGTCGTCGTTGGTGCTGTGCGTGCGTATGACGTGCGTTGCGTGCGTGCGTGCCGTCATGTACGTGCGTTGGCTGCGTGCGTGGTATGTACCTGTGCGTTGGTGCGTGGCGTATATACGGTGCGTGGTGCGTGCGATGTACGCTGCCGTTGGGTGCGTGCGAAATATGTACGTGGTTGTGTGCGTGCGTTGCGGATGCCCGTGCGTATATACGTGCAGTGGTGCGTTGCGTATGTACGTGCGTTGCTGGGTGTGTTGCCGTCGCGCTGCGTATATACGTGCATTGCGTGCGTGCGTATCTAAAAGTTGCGTTGGTGCGGGCGTAATGTGCTGCGTTGGTTGCGTGCCGTTTCGTTGGTGCGTGCGTTGGTGCGTGCGTATGTACGTGCGTTGGTGCGTGCGTATGTACGTGCGTTGGTGCGTGCGTAGGTGCGTGCGTATGTACGTGCGTTGGTGCGTGCGTTGATGCGTGCGTATGTACGTGCGTTGGTGCGTGCGTATGTACGTGCGTTGGTGCGGGCGGACTCGTGTGTGTGCATGAGAGTGTGCGTGTGTGATTTAACCCAATAACCCTCAGCCTACACAGGCAATACTCCAGCACTCTGGGAATATTTGCATGCATATTTGACTTCCTGCACGCAGCTAACAAAGTTAACAATCTGACTGTCCTCGTGGGGTTTGGGACCGCCTCCAAATTGAGAAACGCTGAAATAAAAACAAAAACTGAGCTGCTCCCTATTTCCCAATAATTTTTATTGCTCACGCGTATAAAAATAATGATTCAAAATATCAATACAATATCAAAAATGTCATAACCACACCATCTGTACCAATCGATATCCCAATATTTCCCAATATTACCCAATATTTTTCATTGAGAGCCCCGCTTGACATGATATGCCTCTTCCGTGGCTGCAAAGATGTCGGTATGTTCAAATTACCTTATACATTACCTTTACATAACCTTACCTTTATACATTATTCCTATTTCCCAATATTTTTCATGTATGTCATCTCTTGTTCCACCGTAAAACTTTTTCATAACCAGTCACCATCTGTACTCAGTCAGTATCTGCTTATTACTGAATATCTTCCTTCCTATTTTCTCTCCAGCCATTCCAAATTTCTGAAATTCCTTCCTTTATTGATATGAACTGGCACGCCCCCACAGTTCACAATAATTTCCAGCATGCATCTGTCAAACATTGAATTGTCTTTGTTTATGTGACTGCTATAATTTCAGCTAAATTACATATTATCGTGAGATGACTTTTTGACTTGTGACTTGACTTGTGACTTGACTTTTGACTTGTGACTTGTGAAAACTCATGAGACTGATGAACTCATGACATGAAGCTGTCTCAGTATAACAGTCTTGGCCAGCGCATTGCCTGCGATTTGGAGATCAGAGAGAGATATGCTACATATCTCAACTGGTTTGCTTATATGGTCAAGCTAACTGAGCTGTTGCCTATTCCCCAATAATTTTCATTCCCAATAAGGCAAATAAAAAATTGGCTAAAGCATTCCATCACTGGAACCTATGCCTAATTGTATATCCTATAAATAGGAAATTCTTGTCAAACATACTGAGCAAAGCAAAAACATTCGCAGGATTTCGAAGTTCTTTTCAATACCTCTTCCATTTACGGGTGTCACCAACTAGTTCAGAGGGCGTTCTCAGGTTTTTGATATAATGGCTGACAAATGCTCGTAAGTTGACCTTTAGCTTTAAACAAGTGTTACCTCCATACATTATATAAACAATAAGACGTAATAGAAACCACAAGAAAATGGTGACACCCTATGGTTCAATCCAATAGTGAGTTAATTACTAAAATGTTGTTAACCTCGTATGTTTCAAGACGCTGCACAAATTCAACGATAACCCATATTTTGGATTTCAAAATTTTCTCGTATCAGAGTGGATACACGTCATTATTTTCGGTTGACAAAATCGGATGCATATTGCTGCAAAAGTGCACTAGTACTCGTACCCCTGTATCGAAGGTTATTTTGTAAATGATCAATCGTATTATCAATGGCAAATATTTGCACCTGGAAAAGTGCTTGGAAATAAAGCTTGCTGGCTTCTTCCCTATTAATTACCTCATTCTTTCGATGCGAACGTTGTGCGTGAGAGTTGTGCGTGAGAGTTCTCTTTCTTTCTTTCTTTCTTTGTCTTTCTGTGTAAGCCACGAGACTTTGCCGTCAGCCCACAGTGCGGCGTAGATGGCTGATGACCCATCCGCATCCCTGCACCTGCAATGACATCGCAGACCTCTTGGCTGGCATACCAGGACCACAGAGATGGACCCCACTGGAGTTTTTTTTTTTTTTATTTGTATTTTAATTTGGTAAAATGTTTTGCATAAATAAGCAAATTTTGTATAAATAAGCAAATTTTGTGTAATATATTTTGCTTTAACCTTCGCACAGACTCTAGCATTTGCACAGACTCCAGCATTCGCACAGACTCTAGCATTCGCGTCGACATTAGACTATAGCATTCGCGTCGACATTACACTCCAGCATTCGCGTCAACATTACAGACTCCAGCATTTATACAGACTCTAGCATTTGCGTCAACTCTAGCATTCGAGTTGACATTATAGACTAGCATTCATACAAACTCTAGCATTTGCGTCGACAAAACATTTGCACAGACTCTAGCATTTATACAGACTCCAGCATTCGCGTCGACATTACTCTAGTCGCGTCGACATACTCTAGCAGCATTTGCGTCGACAAAACATTTGCACAGACTCTAGCATTTATACAGACTCCAGCATTCGCGTCGACATTACTCTAGTCGCGTCGACATACTCTAGCAGCATTTGCGTCGACAAAACATTTGCACAGACTCTAGCAT